AACTATGAGCATGAAACTCTGACTGAGTGTTATGACTAGGTGCAAGATTTCATGGACGGATCCTGGGAATGGAAAAAGGGGCAGCGGCTTGGATGGAGGTATGCAGTCACTATAATGAGAGAAGACAAGCAGTCAGTGGCAGTCTAGTGAATCATAGCCAAAGGATTTGACTGTGGTGGTTAGGGCTTACGCGTTGCAGGTGAAAGTGTCATGCGAGGAGGGGGTGTCCAAAGGGGTCCGGGTGAGGAGTGTCCAGAGAGGGTCCAGAATATACTTGGAGCAAAGGGACTTGGCAGGTAGGCAGGCAGGTGGACAGCCAGATGACAGAACTAGCATCCAGGCGGAGATGTGAGTAGCTCAGCTTGGGAAGCGTGACTGTCAGGTGGGTCCTATGACAAAGAAAACACAGTGAGGAGAAATGCAATTATTAAGGGCTCTCACAAGGGCTTGGCGGCCTAGCACTAACATGAGTTAGCAGTAAATCTGGCAGAGGTCTGTTGTGAGTGCTGGTCTTATATGCAGGTGACTTGATTGGAATCAGGTGTGAAAGCTGATTGGAGTCTCTGCCTGAAGGTGGAGCCCAGCAGAGTGGAAAAACCCCGCACTCACCCGGACCATGACACTATTTCCGTTTTCCTGCCAAAATGTAAAAAAATCGGGGATGGCTCAAGACTTTTGCACAGTATTGCAAGTATTATATAAAAAATACAAACCTGGGTGTTATTATGTTTCTCCCAAATATTTATTTGTGTAGTTGCAAGTGACAAATCCTTTTGTTGGGTTATCACTACTCATTTTTGGCTTTTCATACGTCATTTCACGCCATGTAGTCTTGATGAATGACACACTAAACCTTACTTTCATGTTAACACAAAACATGTAACGGTTTTCTTTTTAATAACATGAGAAAAGTTTAAAATGATCACTGACGTGACATAGGATACGTGTCTGCACGCTTTTTATACTCAGTCCCATAACATGTTGAGACAGTTACAAAATCAGCTTCTCCATTTTCCTTTTTTAAGTGATCTCATGCTGTGTTGTTTTCTGAACCAGCATGCTGTTTTCTGCAAATATGAAACACTGTGCATCATTTTATGGATAGAAAATATCTTTAGATAGGATCTCTAAATGGCATCAGCAGGGCTAAAAATTAGGTTCGGTCATAGCAGAGCTCTATTTTGAACATAAAGTTTCACAGGGGGCAGTCTTTAGAAGCAAGCCACTTGAGATTTTTCACTCCTAAAATGGCACAGACAGAAGTCTGTGCCGTTGTTTGTTCAATCACAAACAACGGCACAGACTTTTATTTATTTTAATGTAGGCTACTTCACAAGTGTCACGTTTGGTGATACTGAAATAGGTTCATTGCCTTTACAGAGCTGTGATTTGTACATGTGGTTATATGTAGATGTAAATGGGATAGAAAACAAAGACAATATTGCTCTCTGATCATCTTTCCGAAAAATATAGAAACTAAAAGGTGAGAATGAGCTTGTGCAGAACAGTTTACAAACAGTGAGCATGCATTATAAGTGCAAAACTAAAGGCAGTTATGTAGAACAAGCTTATTTGGGCATAAAAACAGAAACATTCAGTGCATACACAAAATTTTGCTTAATTCGTACAGTGCTTTGTGGAACATGCTCAGAGTAAAGGGGGAGGTTATGTTTAAAAACTGAATATTGTTACTCTGCCAGCTGTGGGCGGAGGAGAACGACATTATCTGGCTTGTGCCTTGTGCCATAAAATGCATTCAATTACTGTGAATGTACTTTAGTCTGCAGCATAATATTTAATTTAAATAGATCAGGACCATAAAAAATATGTTTTAGGATGAATCACAGTTTTACAGTTGGTCAGTAGCCTTTTATTTCTCTTACACACACACACACAAAACCACACAAAATATGTAAAACTGTTATTTTAACAGAAATGTATAAATGCACCCACTGGACATGGCACTAAAATTGAGAGAAGGAAAGTTCAATGAAGAATATATTTTATTTTATTATATTTTTTACTCCTTTACAAGTGAATCCCTCCAATTTATTCCAGCTATTCCCAATCACTCCTGCTCTTCCAGGCTGTCAAAGTCTTTACGTTCACAAATTCTGGCAGCAGCACATCTGACCTTAACTCTTCTCTTTCATGTTCCCATAAACCAATTGATTTGTTATTGCAGAGCCCAACACCAGCATTTCCTCCAGGAGATTCATCTTAGACATTCCATGTTTCTCTTACTGGCTTCATTTCAGTCAGCTTAACGCTACTCCATTTAGCAAAATTTAGTGCAGATAATGCATAACAGGCATAAATCATACAATACACCCTTCAGAGGATTATGCAAATCTTGAGTTGAATTGTTTTGGATTATTTGAGGACTGACATAGAAATGTGTAAAGAGAAAAACAGAACATGGAGAAAGGTCAGTAGTTTTGTTGCAGTTGTTCTGTATGTATCTAAGGCCTCACTCACACAGGCCTAAAGACTGGTCAGCAACACCTTGGCAACCACTGGGGAAAAGTGTGCATACCCCAAAGGGCTGACAAGTGGTTGCTGGCAGTTACTAGGTAAAATTGGTTGCTGGACTGCAAACCTCGCGAACAAAACTTGGTTGCTTTGGTTGCTTGCATGCATGCCACCCATACTTTGCATGTACTGAGAGGTAGTGAAGTTTCACTATTGCTTGGTGACTACCAACAACCTCCAGCAACCAGTCACCAACTGTTTGAGAAAAAAAACAATTTCTCCCTAGAAGCTGGTACTTGCCAGAATGTTGCTGACCAGTCCTTATGTCTGTGCTTAATAATCAAAGAGTGTTGCACTGTGTTCGTTCATGCCTATTGCATTTTTCTAAATAAACTGTTAAAAACTATTAATTTTATACTATGAAACTATGATGAAAATAATGGGCACTGATTGGTCATGTAACAAAGGCACTGAAATATAAAATGAAAAGCTCGCAGAGCAGCTACTGATATAGCGTCATTCTTGATACCAGCTATGTTTTTATCCTTTGCATTATAATTAACAGAGCATAGCAATGTATCATAGTATTCACACTAACGGCTATATAGTTAGTAAGGCACGGTGTATAGCAAAGCAGAGTAACAATATGAAGCATGTAGTTTCTTTTTTGGTTCCAGCAGAAAATACACAGAACACTTTTACTTGTATACATCATGAAATTCCCACTTTGTTTTGTTTAACTAAATAAAACAGGCATTAACTTCTGTTTAGTACCCCTAACTAAGTTATTGGTGAAACACAATAATGGCTAGCAGTGTTATGCCTCTTTCACTTTGTCTTCATAAGTGCCGCTGCCCTTGTAAGCTGCCACATAACCACTGGTGTCTGGGATGTCCTCACGTCCAGCCTTTCCTTTGCCTTTTCCTGTTTCATCAAACCGCTCCTTGTGTGAACCAGTGTACTTGGAGGTGTCAGTCAGTCTGTCCACTGCTGCTGCCTTGGTAGCTTTCTAAAAATAATGGAAGACAGAATACTGATATAGTAAACTTTTTTTTATTTTTTCCCCTTTTAACTCAGTAAAACAAAAATTCTGTATTGTAGTGTCTCTTTAAAGATGCAGTGTGTTGTATCTAGAGTTTCTTTGGTAATCCAGGTATATATCCAAAATAACACACTGACAGTCAACTATTTTTTCTGATTTGTGACCTAAACAGTTGCACAAAGATTTGGTCATCAAAAACAAAAAACAAAAAAAGGTAGCACTTTCTATTCCAGCTCAGTAATAAAGTGGTAACAGTGGGGTGATAAGGTGGAAACAAGAACATAATAATGTGGTCATTTCTACGTTATTACTACCCAATTACCATGGTAATAACCAATCCTAGTAATATTATGGTAGCATCATTATCACCTTATTACCGAGGTGTATTGGGCACTTATTATCCAATTACATACATTTCAGTGTAATATTACTCAACTGTAACCACTGCTGCTATCATGATATTACTTGAAATTTAAGTGGTTATTACGATGATAATTGAGTTGTAATAAGGTAGAAATTACCACATTATTACAGTCTTGTTTCCACCTTGCTACCCTACTGTTACCACTGTATTAGCAAGCTGTAATAGGAAGTGCAACACAAAAGAACAAAACATGTTAATACATTAATCTCACTTAAACAAATTTTACCTAAGATGATCTATTTTAAAGTTTAAATTTAATTGTATGGTTGAGGGTCAATCAAACTACTACTACATATATAAGTTTAAAGGGATGTATAAGTGTAGTACCTGGTTGCTGCCGACTTCTAAGCAGCGAATTTTGAGTTTATTATGGTTATGACTTAATACTCACAGTAACACCAATGTTGGCAGGTTCTTTACCAACAACGAGACCATAAAGCTGCTGAAGTGCCTCTTCCTTGTTCTTGCCTTTAAAACGTTTGGGAGCCAACTCTGTCAGGGCCTGATTAAACTGCTCAAATGTGATTACACGAACTGACTTTGCCCTGAGGAAACACAGAGTGTTGCCAACTATATTTTGAGAGAAATAACAAAATTAATAATATAATATACACTGCTCAAAATAATGAACAGAAAACCTTTTAATCAGTTTATGGCATCAAGTCAATTACATTATTAATCTGGTCAGTTAAGCAGCAGAGGTTGTTGTTAATTAGTTTCAGCTGCTCTGGTGTTGATGAAATTAACAACAGGTGCACTAGATGGGTAACAATGACACAACCCACAAAACTGGAATGGCTTTTCAGGTGGACACCTCTGACATTTTTTCTCTCGTCATCTTTTTTTATTTTTGTTTCACTAGTTTTCCATTTGACTAAGGTCAGGGTCACTACTGGAAGCATGAGGTGATATCTAGATCCTACAGAGATTCCACACGTACTCCAACTCCTCCAGGATCACACATTAATACCTGCCTGTCTGACCAAACAATCAGAAATAGTGTTCATGAGATCGCAAAGACCTCGAGCATATAACCCCAGTGTTGGCCTCTCCATGCTGGCTTCCTGTTCCTTACAGGATCCAATTTAAAATTATACTTTTTGCTTTAAAATCACTAAACGGCCAAGCTACCTCTTACCTAAGTTCCTATTTATTTATTTATGGTCCAGAAAGAACCATGAAGTCCAATTCAAAACTAATGTTATCCAACAGTCTACACATAAATCTCATGGCAACATAGCCTTCTCTGTGGCACGTCGCAGACTTTGTAATAGTCTGCCTCTAAATATAAGATATCCACAAACAATGGAACATTTTAAATCTTTAAAGACCCATTTTTATGGACTGGCTTTTAGCTCACGTTGACCCATATATATATATATATATATTTTTTTTTTTTAACCGCCTTAGCTGTTGTTGTTTTAGTTGCATTTATTGTCTTACTGTTTTATTCCTTTTCTTTCATATTTTATTGCATCATTGTCATGCATTTTACTTATTTTAGTTACATTTTAGTTTTTAAAGCGCCTTGTGCAGCATGAGCTATTTGAAATGTGCTATATAAATAAACTTCACCTTGACTTCTACAGACCAGTCAACAGCACCCTGACTGCCACTAGGTATCGAGGTGAAATCCTTGGACCCACTGTCACACACAATGCTCGGTCTCATGTGGCGAAGGTATGCAGGCAGTTCCTGGAGGATGAAGGAATCGATACTACTGACTGGACCTCACACTCTCCTGACTTACATCCAATAGAACACCTCTGGGACATTACGTTTCTGTCCAGCCAATGCTCTCTGGTTGGA